CAGGGGAGCCCTGCGCCCTCCCAGGTTGGCGCTCTACCTCAGAAGGCCAGGGTGGCTTGACAGGAGGGCTGGGGCTCCTGCCAAGCCACCCCTGCCCAGTGCTCAGATCTGCCCCAGCTTTTTCTTGCCATCCAAGGGCCTGGGGAAGCACTGTTCTCGGCAGCACGTGAGTGGAGGGTCTTTATCCTTGAGGGTTTGGGGGACACAGGCAGAAGCTGCGAGTCGGGGAGGGTCAGAAACTTGGCCCAGGGGAGATTCTCGGCCCTGCAGGCAGGCTGGCTCAGTGCCAGGGGGGTTCAGGTGAGCCAGACTGCCAGTCGTCCGTCACCTGGGGCTGGGCACAGATGCCCTTTCAAACAGAGCAGGGGCCAAAATTTTTATGGTTTTTGGTTCCAGTTGTCCCTGGACTGAGCTGGGGGTCACTCGCCTGTGGCGGCTGAGCTGGGGTTGCTTCTGCATGCTTCCAAAGAGCCCCGCCGCTGAAGGGACTAGGAGCYGGCTCTCCCCTCATCTCAGGGGGAGGGGAGAGACTTCTGAGTGGCAGGTAAGGAATTGCTGAGTCCCATAGGTGCTAATGGGACAGGATCCTGATGTCTCTGGGGAAGGGGGCTGCTCTCCACCCTGCACTCTGGGGAAACCGGAGAAATGGCATGCCCTTGAAGGCTTTGTGCCGGGAAACTGGGAAGGGACCCCTGCTGGTCTTGGTGGGGAGGAGGATGTTGGTAGCACAGGGAGAGGGAGGGTCAGCACAGAGGGGGTTGGGGCAGGATGAGGGACAACCTCCCCAAAGTTGGTTTGGCAATGAGCTAAGAAACCAAAGTTGTAGGTGGTCCAAGTGGGGCAGGGGGTGGGGGCTGTGGCTGGAGATGGTGCAGGGCAGGGCACCACACACACCCAGGACATGCTGAGAGCCTGGCCCCCATCCTGCAGTTCTAGGGAGTGAGCGGCAGCTGAGTCTGGCCTGGGTGGGGAGGTAGGGGGCTCAGTGGGAGGAAGTGGGCTGGGAGGTGACAGCTGCCCACTTTGTCCTATGTCCCCCCTCCCATGCGGCTCCCATGTGGCTCCATTCACAGGGTCATTCACTGATCCCTTGCTGAATGAGAAGGGTGAGCCACCCTCTCCCTAGCTCAAGTGCTTAAGCCCATTCTGGGTTGCTGGGTGGGCGCAGCAAGCCTCTGGCCCTTCCTGAGCCTCCTCTGACCTTCTCAGGAAAACAACACCTACCTCTCGGGGGGTGCTAGGAGGGTTAAAGACGAGGGAGTAGATAAGAAGGACCCAGAGGCAACAATGTCAGCTTCTAGGCACATGACAGTGTCGGCTTCTTGGGGTGGGCCTGGGCAGATGGCTCACTCTGTTTTCCCCCATTGTGTGTCCCCAGGCTGAGAGTCAGCTGGACCTCMACAGGACCAACATGGAGTGGGATCCAGAAGGAGCCAACCCTCTCTCCACCAGGGAAGGGAGCTTTTAGTCTTCGTCCTGACTCTTGGCTCCCCTCTCTTCTAACTCTGAAAGGCTCTGTGCCCCCAACAGGCCTGCAGGCCCCTTGGAGCAGGAGATAAAGAGGGACTTTCCTCTGTGTCACAGGGACTCCGTTTGGCTTTCTGGGAAGACAGAGAAATAGTAYATTCCTCCAGAAATAATTGTCCTCAAGCTATTTCCAGCAGCTCTTTAGTGCCCAGGCCAGAAATGGCTAGTGATCTCGATGCCTGGGTACTGTCAGGACAAACAGCCCAGAAGCCCAGCCCTCTCGGCGCTGGCTGCCCGCCTGCCCGACCAGTCCCCAGCCCTGAGCTGAACCAGGCCTGGCTCAGGCCCCGTCTGTCCGTGGACTGTGGACACCGTCTCCCTGTTCTTCCCCCAAGTTGCTCTTCCTCCGCTCGGGGATGCCCCCAGATCCCTCCCGCTGTTCTCTCTTTGGCCACCGTAACTCAGCCGGCCCAGGGCTAAAGGCCTTTCCCTTCAGTGACTCTGCGCTGATGCCATCCTGCCCGGGGCAGGGAGATCCTATACTAAGTGCTTTGTAATCCTGAATCTGGTCCATAAGAAAGATCATGGGCTGAGGCTGGGGCTCAGSGGTAGAGCCTAGCACGTGTGAGGCCCTGGGTTCGATCCTCAGCACCACATAAAAATAAAGAAAATAAAGGTATTGTGTCCAACTACAACTAAGAAAGAAAGAAAGAAATATGAGATAGGCCATGTGCGGTGGCACACACCTGTAATCCCAGTGGCTCAGGAGGCAGAGGCAGGAGGATTGCGAGTTCAAAGCCAGCCTCAGCAATTTCGCGAGGCGCTAAGCAACTCAGTGAGAACCTGTCTCTAAATAAAATACACACACACACACACACACACACACACACAAAACAACAACTGTATTTCTATTTTTTCTTTCTTTCCCTTCCTGCCCTCCTTCCTTTCTTTCTTCCTCTTTCTCTCTCTCTCTCTCTCTTTCCTGCAGTGCTGGGGATCAAACCCAGGATCTGATACACACAAAGCAACTACCTTACCACTGAGCTATGATCCCAAAACTGTATTTTCAAAATTCAGGGGAAGAATATGAGAGAAGCTTTTTCTGGCAAACACACTGAGACATCAACGGAGAATSGAGTTCCTTCATTCAACACAAATGTCCGGGGTGAACGAGGGATGCTGGTTTCCGAAAGGATTTGCTCTCTGAAGAGTCTTCAGGCCGGGCGTGAGGGTGCACCTTTATAACCCCAGTGGCTCGGGAGGCTGAGGCAGGAGGATCATGAGTTCAAACCCAGCCTCAGCAATTAATGAGGCCCCCAAGCAACCTAGTGAGACCCTGTCTGAAAATAAAAAATAAAAAGGCTGAGGATGTAGCCCAGTAGTTAAGCGCCCCTGGTTCAATACATAGTACCCCCCCAAAAAAAAACCCCAAACCCCAAAATCCCCCAAACCCCCAGGGTCCTCGGGCTTTCACTGGAACCTGTCACAAAGTAGGTGTTAGCATGGGACTGTTGGCCACGTGGGGAGAGGTGAGAAGGGAGAAAAGAAGTCGCCTTCATGCCCTTAAATGGGTCGCCTAAAGGGACAGCATTTGAAGGACACTGGGTAAATGCTGGCCGACCCAATGAGAGAAGAAGCCGGTGCTGACCGCAGCAAACCCGAGTTCTATTTGAACCAGCAGAAAACCTCCTGCCTCTCAGCACAATTAAGACGAGAAAAACAACAAGGAACCCTGGAAAACAGCCACCCCAGCCTCCTCTCAAAAATAGGCCCCATCTGTCCTGGCAGGCTTAAAGTGGCTCCTGGCCCTTGGGCAGGGGCCTGGCCAGGATGACCCCTGGAGGCCCCTCCCAGCTCCAGGATTCCATGATTCTATGACATGGCCAGCAGTCTGGAGTGGCAGCATGAGGGTATCCCCAGTGGAGAGCCAGAGGAGGTCTATGTCATCTACCTCCTAAGAGACAGAGTGAGAGGGGAGCGGGCCCTGGTCACATTTGGGGCCCGGCCGGCCAGGGGGAAGGGCCAGTCCTGCGGGAGTCAACCCTCAATCCTCTCCATTTTTTTTTTTTTTTAAGAAGCAGATGGGGTGGGGCTGGGCTGGGCAGGGAAGAGGCCTGAGTCTGGACATTCCACTCAGTACAGACTCGAAGGACAAGAGCAGCTGAGGCCGGACCCGGGCAGGCAGCTGCTTTCTGAATGGGGTGGGCTCCGAGACAGCTGTGCTGGCGCTAGGCGCCTGGACGCTCCGCACGAGCAGCGGTCATGGGCGAGAGGGGCCGGAGCTTCTTCTGGCTGGGGTGTGGGTGGCAGTTAGTACTGAGGAGCCAAGGGACAATGGGGACAACAGGTTCTACACTGCCCTTGTTAGGCCCAAGCTGAGCCCAGGGACAGGAGGTGGTGAAATGGACTGGGCATCTCTTGGGCCTGGCCAGGTCTTATCCTCCATGAATGGCCTATTTTGGGGCCAGGAGGAGTAGGAACCCCAATGTCCCTTCCTCTGGTAGGTCAAGTGAGGAAATCCTATATGGTCAGAGAGCGGCAAGACCCAACAAACTGGCAGGTTCTGATCTCGCAAGCCCAGCCCCATGAGCAAACCTGCTCCACTGGACCCTCAACCCCACTTGAGTTTCCTGTAGTCAGGACAAACTTGGTTCCAGGATTAGCTAGTACCCTTCTCCGCCCCCTCCCCCAGGGTCTCCCTGCCAGGGCTCCTGTGCAGGCCCGCAGAGTTGGTGTGGTGAAAACTCACGCTTAACAGATCGTCAGGGAGACCAAGGTCACCCTGGCAACACACCATTGTCTGTGGGGAGGCCATCAGACATTCCCTGGATGCTACCTTGGCCTTTACAAGCTGTGTGATCGCAGGCTAGTCACATTACCTCTCTGAGCTTCAGTTTCTCCCATCTGTCAACTGGAACTAGAACACGGATGTGTAGTCGGAATTAAATGAGTTGATCCGCGTAGGGCACAGGGTGAAGGGCCGGGTACACAGAGAATCTCTGAGTGTAGAACTGCATCAAGGCTGAGACAGTTTTTTTTTTTTTTTTTCCAGTATTAGGGGGCATTTCATGGTTGATGGTAAGCTACTTGAATAACACCGAAGGCCTGTCTCTGCTTGCAATTTCACTCATTAGAGATTCTGTCCTTGGCCTTTGCGGTATCCTGGAGTTCCTGCTTCAAAGGTGGACGGAAATTTCAGAACGGGGATCKAGAGCTAGAGAAAAGAGAAGATCCYGCCTCTGCTTTTCCTAGGAGGCCCTCGGGTCTCGGTCTTTCTGAGGATCTTGCMTTCCTCCCTCTCTCTCGCCCTTCTCTTGCACTTTCTGAGGAAAAGGGTATTGGTCTTCCAGTTTGAAGAAATCCCTGAGCCTGTGGGGAGGAGAAGGAGAGGGATGAGGGCAGTGCTGGACGTCTGGGGACAGAGAGAACCCCTAGAGAGAGAGTCTGGAGGGAGGTGGGAGGGAATCCGGGTGAGCCGACCCAACTCTCTCCTCTCCAGGTCCAGGTAAGCAACCTCCAGGTGCGGCCACAGCTCAGTCACCGATTTGATCCCCCCCCCCAGCCAAAGTGATGTCTGGCCGCCCAGAGAGCAGATCCAACTCTTGCAGTAGCCGCTCAAATAATCCCAACAACCCGTCCTTGTCGGCTCGAACTCCAGGCTGGACCCAAGGCTCCAAGGACACCCACGAGGTCAAGGGCTCCCGCCTCCGCACCCCCAGTAGCTCAGACTTCAGCTCCTGCAGCAGCCACTCAGAGCCTTCGTTGAGTGTCATCTCCCCCAAACTCCTCAAGGGGGGAGTGTGCATGGGCCGGCCCTACAACTCCAAGTGCGTGGAGTCAAGTCAATTGGAGAAAGGCTCCAAGGTGGCCAGGAAGACCTCTTACCAGCCCTCTGAGGGCAGCCCCAGCTGCTTGCTCTGCTCAGAACGGCCTTTGGGCCCCACCGGCTCCAGCTTCTTGGACCAGCTCATCAAAGGCATCAACTACCTGGACCGATCTACCAACGCCTTCTACAGCAACTGCCCCAAAACGCTGAGCCTGCCGCGGCTTGCTGCCAGCTACCTGGAACGAGCTGCCAACTCCCTCTACCTGGACCACATGGAACGCACTTCAGCCCGAAGTTACTCCGCCCCCAGCGGCAGCCTGCACGCCAGGGAYGGCTCCAAAAACAGCACCTGCATGGTGTCATCCACTAGGGGCGCCAACGAGCTGCAGTGTCTGGCCRGCTCCACCAACCAGAGCTGTCCCCACCAGCATCATGGCCACAACTTGACTTCCATGCGGCAGAGGCCAGGCATCAAGTTGACGGAGCTCCCCTTGTTTGGCAATGGGCTTTTCTCCTTAGATCGTCTGCCCAAGTTCTGGGAAGCCATCCGCTCYGGCTGGAGTGCCCCTGAGCCCGCCTCCAAACCTTCCAACTGGTGGTAAGGTTGACATCAGCCAGCGACGGGCACACTTCCGTCGCRCTGCAGTTGTGGAAAATAAATTGTCTGTGGCAAAGTGCTCCTTCCAAGGCTCTGTTGGGGGAAATGACCATTTAGACGGGGGCTCTGAATTCAAGGGTGGGTCTCTYGGCACAGTCAAGTAAAAATGAGTGAATTGGGCCGGCAGTGGCAGGGAGTGGCAGAGACTAGTGGCTGAGTGGGCAAGGACCACTTGGTCCCTATACCTGGCTCTGACATGGGCCGTTGCCTTCACAAGAAAAGCTGGAATGTGATTTTCATTCTTATTTATTTTTTGACAGAGTCTTGCTGGGTTGCCCAGACGGACCTCCAACTCCAGGGCTGAAGGGATTCTCCTTTCTTGGCCTCCCAAGTAGCTGGGATCACAGGGGTGCACCCCACACCTGGCTCTGGGATCTGATTTTACGTTATTCAATTTGGGGWCATTTCTTCACGTTGGCTGAGGGCCTTGAATCCAGTAGGAGCCCAGCAATGCCAACTGCTGTTATCCTGAGGATGATGACAGTCCTTCACTCAATGAATGCTCCGTCMGTAGCTAATAATTTAATGACACCGTATTAAGCTCTTTATGTGTGCCAGGCATGGTTTTAAGTGCTTTGTATGTAAGGGAGATTCGGAAGCCTCCCTTAGCCTCAGTTTCCCCATGAGAGGAAACGGGCCAGCTAGCTGTTCATTACCAGTTCCTATTCATTCTCCTCTCTTTTCAGGCTGGCTGATTTTGAGCACTGTCCCACGTGAGCAGAAATGTAGACAGTGATTTTGTGAGAGGCGCTGAAGAGGAGCCTGGGGTGGCCATGGGAGGGAGGATAGGCCTTGCTGGGAACTCTCGGGAGACAGTGGTTCTGTCTGAGCCTGGAGGGTCAGGAGAAGGTGGTCCCCTTCTCTCACTTCTGCGGGTTTCTTGCTCTCTTCCCTGGGCCACTGAGAATTCAGAGACCTGAGTAGTTCAGGAGTTGGGAAACCAGGCCCACAAGGTCCCCAGCTGCCCAGTCCTGCTAACTGAGGGACTCAGGAGACAAGGATTGCAGCCCAGCTCTCTGCTGGWCTGCCCTGAGACCCTGACCACCTGGCTCCCTCTCCACTCCCTTTCCCCTCTGAGCCTGGGTGCAGTAGCTTTGAGGCTCCCAGAGCGCCCTCTGGAGACTCCCAAGCTGAGACTGAGAGTGTCCACACAAGAACCCGRGCTCCCAAGCCGCCTTCCAGTTTGCCCCTGTCGTTTCAGGCCTTGGAGACCGTTTCTGGGTGGTTAACTTCAGACCCAGGCCCTGCTCAGGAGCCCTTCTGTCTCCTTGGCAACAGGAAGGCCAACGGCCGCTCAGGGTGGAAGGGCCCTGAGATAATGCAGAACCTGGAGGCCCACAAGGTTCTTTGGKGCTTGAAGGCAGTGGCCTGCCGTGGCCCAGCCCCTATGGCCAAGCAGAGGAGGGGACAGACCTGAGTATCTCCCCAGGGCAGGAGGAAGGAAGAGGGCAGCGAACCCCTGGTCCATTGAATCCCCCTCCACTTCTATGCCATCTCTGGAGGGCAAGGGAGATCCTTCTGTGGGGCCAAAGCTCAGCACTGAGCAAACCCCTCCTCTGTCTCCTGCTTTAACTTTTCTCCCCAGGAAAAGGCTGCAGCTTAGTCTGATGGAACTCTATTAGTCTCAACTCCCAAGGAGAATATTCATATGGAGTGTTAGAATCCACTTTGAACTGACCATGGTGGCACACACCTGTGACCCCAGCAACTTGGGAGAATGAGGCAGGAGGATCTGGAGCTCAAGGCTGGCTTGGGCAGCTTCATGAGATCCTGTCTCAGCAATAAGAAGAACTGGAGATGAGCCCAGTGGCAGAGTGCTCTTGGGCTCCATAACCAATACACCCTCTGCATCCCCCCCACCTCCCAAAAAATCCATATGGTCTAACTTTGAGATACTTCAGGACACTAAAGTGTCCTGATTCTCAAACCCTCTGGCTGCTTGAAACATCTCCTTCCTGCTCCAGGTCTGTTGGCTTGGCTTCCAGGCATGAGAGCCAACTCTCTGTGACTCTCCCACCAAGACACTTCTTATTTCCAAAATGGTTCTATTTCTCCAAGTTTTAGAGTGTAAGACTCCGCACTTGGACACTGCTCTTGAGGTGACCAGCATCTAGTTCCCTTCTGGCTTTCAATAGAGGTCACTTTTTATATCAACATTGGCTCAGGGCCTTGTATCCAATAGGTGCCCAGTAATGTTAACTGCTGTTATCCTGAGGATGATTATAGGACAATGAACACTAATAATGTCAACAATGCCCCACTTACGAAGCTCTTAACTGTGTGCCAGGCATTGTTTTAAGTGCTTTGTATCTATTCACTCATTTAATCCTCACAACTATTGTCCTTTTTTTACAGATGAGGGAGCAGGCACAGAGAGGTCAGGTATACCTGATTATGAGAAAGTCCACAGAACATGGTGGCTTTAAACAATATGGTTGGATCAGGTGTGGTCCCCCCCATCCCATCGGCTTGGGAGGCTGAGATAGGAGGATAGCAAGTTCGAGACCAGCCTCAGCAACTTAGTGAGGCCCTAGGCAACTCAGTGAGACCTTGCTTCTACATAAAATATAAAAAGGGGGTAGGGATGTGGCTCCATAGTTAAGCATCCTAGGTTCAATTCTGGGGACAAAATAATTCATTTTAAAAAATGATAAATAGGGTCCGCATTGTCATTATAGAGGACTGCATGCAGACTGGGTACTCAACAATGATCGATCATAAGATCACAAGAAACTATGTCTTTTTTTAATGCTTTTATGGGTGCATTACAGTTACACATAATAGCGGGGTTCATTTTGACATCATCAGACGTGCATGGAATATCTTGTTTCATTTCAGTCTAAGGATTTCCTTTTTCCCTCCCCTCTTCCCTCTGACTGTTCCCCTTTCTCTTCTCTACTGGTCTTCTTTCTATTTATTCATTTATCTGTTTAAGTGGGTGCTTTGTAGATGTACATAAAGGCGGGACACACTGGGGCATATTCATATTCGCACACAGCGTGATTTTCTCCATTTCAGTCCGCAGTTCTGCCCTTTCCTGTCCCTCCTCCCTCCCAGATCATGACATCTGGAAACTAGTGGGTGCTCCACAGGGGCACAGGTGAGAGCTCAACCTTTCTAGGACCTGCTGCTCAGTAGATGCTCCCATGGGATTCACCCATTGGTTGGGCATTGGATCATGCCCAGTAGGGACCACACAGTCTCTGCCCTGGCCCCAAGCTGCTATGGGGGAAGGGTACTCGCCGTTCATTCTCAAATCCTTACTGAGCCCAAGTCCAGAGAAGAYAAGCCTGGGAGCTAAAGAAGTGCTGCTGCTCCACGTGGCCAGGCAGAGGCCCCCAGGTCCTCCCTCATGTGCAGGGGCTGTGTAAACAGGATGCAGCAYGCTGGCTAGGAACAATGGGGCAGCCTGCTCTGCGGGGTCCCTTGTGTATAGAGGTGGCCTAGGTGTCCTGTGAGCAGAGGTGGCAGGAAAGTCCTCTGGCGTCTGCAGAGGCACACCATGGCACTCACCCTGTGCCCTGCTTAAACATAGGCTCCCGACCCCCCCACCCTCCCAGGCTGTCTTATTAGCCCATTTTGCTCTGGGGAGAGGGCATCTGGCCCCAACCCCTGCCATCCACAAGCGGCAGAGCTGGGATCCAAGCCAAGGCCTGACCCGCAGTCAACGCCCTTTCCATCTGAAGTGCGGTTTCTTAATATTTATTGAATGAATTTCAAGAGAAAGGAGTAAATCTTAGCCTCCAAAATGATCAGTAAATTAGACAAAGCAAGGGTGGTGTTTCACTCTGGGGTTTGGATTGTTCCTCAATACCAGTGCTCTCAGCAGGCAGGTAAACCCAGGACAGCACTTAAAGGTCACGGGGGTCTCTATCGCCTGATCCATTGGCCCAACTGCCCAACTGCCCAGTCATTTCGTGTCACTTGGCACGGTGCCATAATATTGAAATTTCTTTATGTATTAAAAAAGAAAGAAAATCACCACCACCACCACTTGTGGCCCTTTCTAAAGGATAACTTGATATCACTGTTTTAGAATTCTAGAAAAACAAAGGTAGCTTTTTTTGTGGCAGTGGAGACAGAACCCAGGACCACTGTCGCTACATCCCCCGATTCTTTTATTTATTTATATTTTGAGACAAGGTCTCAATGAATTGCTGAGGCTAAGCCTCAAAATTATGATCCTCCTGCCTCAGCCTCCTGAGTAGCTGGGATCACAGGTGAGCATCATCACCACACCCATCCAGCTTTTTGAACCACCCCAGGTGTTGTGTGTGCAAGAGACACACTCATCCTTCTCCTGACCCTCACCCCATCCCCAACCTTCCCTCTGAGCCTCAGCCCACTCCATCCCTCACCCATCCCATCCCTGATGGTCTGCACGGTTGCGGGTCCTGCTTATTCTACAGAGGAAGCAGAGACCTAGGAGTGGGCAGCCCCCCAAGCTGCATCCACACTGCCTTCTTTTGAGTTGAAATCTGCACAGCAGCCGAAAAAGCCTCAGTGTGTGCTGGGCTGAGCGGGTCCCACCATTTTTGGCAATCTCCTCCACCCACTCCTAGGCCCCTCCCGATGGGGCAGGAATTTCTGSTGAACAATTGAACAAAGCCGGGAACTTGGAGGGAGAAGGCACAGGACATTCCAAAAGGATTTCTCTCAGCTCCAAAAGTCAACAGGCGGGAACAGCACAGAGGGCTCACGGGCTGGTAAAGAAAATCACGAGAAAGACGGAAAGTCTGCCCAGGAGGAAGGGCAGAGCAGCTGGAGGAAGGAACAGGGGGCCCGGGGTCAAGAGGCCCAGGGGGAGGGCCACTCGTGTCCCTGCAGAGGCCTCTCCACCTCCGCAGCCTCAAAAACTGAGGGAGCTACAAAAATAAACACATGCCGCACTGTTCCCAGCCCAGCAACCGCTGGTTGATAACAAAGACCTGGAAACAGCCCAGT